CCTGCCGCGCCTGTTTGATGGTCGGCGTGGGAGCGTCGTGCGCGGCAGCGGGCTGGTTCCGAACAGTGTGCTTTCGTCGCTCTGTCGTTCTGGCGCGCTGGGGAGACAGGGACACGGCGGCGGAGCGCTGTTCGGAAGCGGCCCTGCAGGTTGTTGTGATCGAACGAGCGCGTGTCCACGACGCCAGCGCCGCCACGCCCTCGTCGTGGTGAAGCAGGTTCGGCGGCGCGGCTAGGCGCGGCGGGGCGCGGCCGCCGGTACTGTACAGTGCTGTGGGAACAGAGGCCCTGTAGTCCGGAAGCTGGTTGGTCTGGTCGCTGGACCGCACCGCGCAAAGAGAATTACCCGGCTGTGGGTTTTCGAGTCGGAAGTCCGCCAGCCTGCCGCTGCGCCTGTGCCGCCGGCACTTAGTCCTGCCGGTGGCCGGCGGGGTGCCCCCCATGGCGCGGCGCGCGGCGGCCCGGCTGCCTGCTGCCCCCGGCGCGGCCGGAATGAAGCTGCACTGGCCGCGGGTGCCCCGGGCCTGGTCGTGGAGGCCAGGCCGGGCTAGGCTTGTCTTTGGCACTTTCTCCGTCGCTGCACCGGCCGGAATGCGTCTCTGCCTCCGCCACCGCCGCTAATTTCGTCTGTAAACGTGTCGGCGCGTGCCTCCCGGTGCCTCCCGCTTTGGGCGCCGCGACGCCGCTTGCCGCCTCGGCGCGACGCCGCGCAGCTGCCTCGATCATTTGTGACATAATGTCGTTTGGACCAATCAGTGGCGACACCCGGCAAGGCACTGCCTGGGGCGCCATGGCCGCCATGGGCCTGGCCGCCATGTGTGCGCCTGCCTGGGCGGCCCGCGCTCTTGCCCGCGCTCTACATGGAGGCATCTGGGCTGGACGAGGGCCTTTCTCTCGTCGCGTGGGTTTTACACCGCTCACTTGCACTCTCGGTGCGCGCCGCGCCGCCCTGCGCCGCCCGGCCCCGCCCCGCGTCGGGTTTCGGAACGGCGCGCCAAGTGCAGGCCGCAGCCAGTGGACTGATTCCGAACGGAGTGCTTTGTCGCTGCCTCTCTCGCACCTGCACGGGACGTTGCACGAGTGCGAGAGAGGCAGACCCATTGACGGCGGCATGACCACGCGGCTTCCCCGCCCGCCCCGCCGGCCCGTATCAGATGCAGCAGATTCGTACGGCGCCCCCTGCAGAGCCTTCGGAGTGCGGAGAGGGGGGCGGGAGATTGGAAAGGGACAGAACGAGAGCGAAGGGGCCGAAGGGGCGGCCAGTGTAGTGACCGGGGAAAGGCTGCCGCTGTCGCGTACTGACTGACTGGATTGGGCTGACACAATCCGATAGGCCACGGCGGCGAGGCGAAGCGAAGCGGCATTCCAGTTCCAAGTCCCAGTGTCCGCGCTCCGCGCTCCGCGGCGATGAGCTAACAGCCAGCAGGGCGGCGCAGTCCGCTTTTACTCGTCGCCCGACTCAGGGAAAGGTTTCGGCGGCCCCCTGCTTCTCTGCTCTGTCTCTCTTGCACTCATTGGGCGTCCCGGGTGCGAGAGAGACAGAGCCACGAGCCTGCCGGTCGACGATGTCGTATTCCGCGTACTTCACGGCCTGGGATCACCTTCATGCAGGCGGAGCGAGGCGGCGGGGCGTGGCGGCGTGGCGGTCAGGTCCGGCGGGTCGAATGTCATGACAGTCATGAGCGCGACCGCGGCCGGGCTGCCATTTGGAACGAATGAACCGGTGATTCGGCGGCCGACCTTGACGTCACATGGGCCGTTCAAGTGAGGTGGGCCGCACCGCGCCGCGCCTTGGGACACAAAGGCAAAGGCGTAGTGGAGCGGGCCGCCCCGCCCCGCCCCGCCCCGCCACGGGCTGCTGATGTCCTTGACGACCGCCCCCGGTGGCGCCGCTACCGCACCGCCGCTACCTCCGCGGCGCTATCGTCGTAGACACTGCACTGTAAAGCCCCGCGGGAACTGACCGAACTGACGTGGACGTGGAAGCATGTGGCGATGTCCCGCTAAACGGCGCGCCCCGCCTTGCGCCCCGCCGCCGCTGCAGCGCGCTGCGGTGGCCGCGGGAGAAAGCCCCGCCTCGCCGCCTGGGTTTTGAATGAAGCTGCCGTTGAAGCCCAAGCTCACTTTGCACCGATGCCTCGTTGACGTGTGTCCCGTATGACAGCGAAAGTCCGCCCGCCCCCCGCCAGGTCCCCGTCGGGGCCCCGCCCCGCGTCGCGCGGCCTTGCCGGCGGCGATGGCACCGCGTCATGTGCACGTCGTGCAGTGCCGTGCCGCGCCTAGAGGCCCATGAAACATTCATCAGCCAAACAAGCGCTTCTCGGCCCGATGGGGCCGTGCGTACGGCTGGCACGGTGCGCGGTCCTTCCCGGCGCCGCGCCGCGCGTCCCACTGCAATCCTTCCTCGAGAATGCGGGCACTCACTCGCTGCCCACGCCGCCGAGACCGAGAGCCGAGTTGGGACTGACTGGACTGCGATTTGCTCTGCCACCGATTGGATGACAAATCGGCTGCCTGGCTTCCAATGTAGGCGACCGTCGTGGTGCCGCGCCGTGCCGCGTTTGTGATGCATTCCGCGCACCGCTCGGCTCTCGCTGCCGACTTTCGACTACCGGTGTCGTATCGGAGCGACGCCCCCTCCCACTTCTCCTCCTACTCCCCGCCTGATTGTCCCAGGACGGCGGTGCTGTTGGCCTGGTTGGGCCCAGCCACGCAGACAGCGCCAGGCCGTAATCCAGTGCAGTATCGTCGAGTATCGTTGTCGTGGACGTGGGCCGGGCGTTGTACAACGGGGCGTCTCGGTGAAATGGAGGCTGCCTCCGTGCTGGCTTAAACACAATATTTACACATCCGACCACATTTTGACCAACTTGACGGCGCCATTGCTCTTTCCGATGCGAGGAGGTCTTAAAACGACCGTGCGATTTTCAAAAGCGTTCTGGCGCAGCGGCCGCCGAAAGTCGACCCAACGCTGGCCCTGCCGGCCCTGCTGGCCTTGGCGTCGTTGTCCAGGTCGGGGCGCGCCGCCGTGCGCAGGACGCGGCCAGGACGCCACAGCGGCTTGCCCGCCTCGCCGGGGCTGACCGCTCCACTTGGCAGCCCTGTGACTAACGGTTGCCTGTTATTTGCGGGCGAGTGTGAGCTGACCGGGCCGGGTGGGCCAGCGCGCCAGCGCGCCGTCTCTCTCGCTCGCCCTGCCGGCCCGGCCCCGCCCGGCCAGTTGGTTGAAGAGAGACGGAGACGGGTGCGTACTCGACACGCAGTGGGGCCGCGGTCGGCCGGCCGGGGTGCAGCGGGCTGGAACTCGCACGTGGGCGGTCGGCGAGCCGCTGCGTGGCCCCTGGTGGCCCCTGGTGGCCCCTGGCCCCGCGGTGGCCTAGCCGGCTACGAGAAAAGCGGGTTCATTTTGGATGCATGGTGGCCACAGAGTCAGTCCAACGCGGTGCCCTGCCGATGTTCACTAAACGCGGGGTCTTCTTCGACTCGCCCTTGCCACCGCCGAGGACGGCGCTCGACGGCGCCCGGAGCGGAGCAGCCTGGAGGCGCGCGTCGCGCAGGGCGTCGCGTCGCCACGCGTGTAGGCTGGCTTTTAATTGGTTTTGCTGCTCCGCTCCGCTGGGCTTGCTTGGCTCGGCTCGGCTCGCGCTGTTTAAGGCTATGTTAGATTAGCCGTGTTGTGATTGCGAAGGTCGCCGTCCTTGGCAGTGTGTGGCGGCCCGGGCGGGACTCGGTGCCCCACTTCGCAAGTTCAAGAGGGGGCGAGTGCACGCGGACGGGGACCTCTGTTTGGCGGCTCCACTGGCAGAAAGCGCGCGTCGCTGTGCTGGCCATGGCAACCCAGAAGGACATGAAGGGGCCTTGTGGGACTCTGGATGCCTTCAAGTGGCCTCAAAGACAATTTTTGATTGCGTCTCCGAAGTATGTGGTTGTGGTGTTGGTCGGCGCGGGGTCCTCCCTCCCTCCATCCCCCGCCCCTCCCGCCAGAGTGGCTTCGCTCAAAACGGGGCGGATGGCGTGCATTACGGCGTGCGGCAGGTCGCGGCCCGGCCGGCGCAAACCGCTGCAAGCCGCGCACAGCGCACAGCGCAGCAGCGCTCGCCAAACGCACAGGGCACTCAGGGCACTCAGCAGATCTGGGGGCCGCAGCAACAGCGGCCGCTTCGCCTCGCCTCGCCAGACTGGGGTGTATCAAGGCTTGTTGACTCTCGCTTTCCGCCCGCTGCAGTCTTTGTCCTTGTTGCTCTCGCGTGCCCCGCCCGGCCCCATCCCCTCTTCTCTCTCTCTCTCTCCCCCCCTCGCTTCCTTGCCGAGTGCCACGCTGCAGAATGCGGTTTGGTCTGCGAGCGGTCGCGATGCGTGTGGCGTGTGGTTTGGGGCACGAACGCGTGCACGTGTTGGTCGGGGCACGCGGCACGCACGCCTCGGGTTGCTCGGTCGTTCTGGACCAGGGAGTTGCCAACTCCGCAAAACTTCCAGCTTTCAAAGTACCCATTAAACGGCTAGAGGATTTAAACCCCAAACAATTCAGTCTCTGCATGTCACTCGTATCGCCTACCGTTGACGAGCAAACGGCACCTGACGGCTCTCTGTAAGTTGGCCACTCCTGGATCAATGAGGCGACTGAGTGCCCAATGGACTGCGCCGGCGGCACCGCGCGGCACTGCGCGCTTAGCGGCTGGTTGACGTAACGCCCCCTGCCGGCGTTTGCGTGAAGTAACTACGGTCCGCATTGCTCGCCGAGTCCGCGAGGCAGGCCGGCAGGCCGCGGCGGGTCGCTCCATTCTCGGAGTCACTCTGTCTCATTGTCTGGACCCCGGTCTCGGTCTGGACCGGCAGTTCCTTCTCCATGGCTCGATAGGCCCCAACACAACAGGCGGCCCGCGGCAGCCCGCGGCGGGCGCTCGCGAGGCGTTTGTGGACGGAAAGTTTATTGCAGCGGCGGAGGTGTTCATTGGTCTGTTCTTGCCTTTTCTCTAACCGATCCCCGTCCCCGTGTTACAGGTTCGACCTGGGCGGCGACGGCTACCTGGACCTCCTCGAGATGAAGCTGATGATGGAGCGGCTTGGCGCGCCGCAGACTCACCTCGGCCTCAAGAAGATGATCCAGGAGGTGGACGAGGACCAGGACGGCAAAATTTCCTTCAAAGAGGTAAGGCCTTGCCGCCGCGCTGCTCGGAGCCCAGGCCAGCTCGTTCGCCCAGTTGGCGGTGGATTCACTGGCGTTGTCGGTTGCAGTTCCTCATGATCTACCGGAAGGCGCGCGCCGGCGAGCTGACCGAGGAGTCCCTGAAGCGCCTGGCCGTCCTCACCGAGATCAACGTCGAGGAGGTGGGCGTGTACGGCGCCAAGGAGTTCTTCGAGGCCAAGGTGAGTCGCGTGGTCTTCCCTATCGACCGTACTGCCCGTTGGGTTGCCTACACTGCAGGCGCGTGCACTGCCGGTTGGGCTGCCTGCACTGCAGGCGCGTGCACTGCCGGTTGGGTTGCCTACACTGTAGGCACGTGCTCTGCCGGTTGGGTTGCATACACTGTAGGCGCGTGCTCTGCCGGTTGGGTTGCCTGCACTGCAGGCGCGTGCTCTGCCGATTCGCGTTTGAACTTGAGAGACTTGCCCACAGCCACCCGCTGGCAGTGGCCTGTCACGCCTCCAATTTGGCGCTAATGTTGTTGTTATTGTTTTTTTCAGATCGAGCAGCTGCGCCGAGGGTCCCAGTTCGAGGACGAGATCCGGCGCGAGAAGGAGCGCAAGCAGCGCGAGGAGGAGGAGCGCGAGCGGCGCCGGCTGGACTTCAAGGAGAAGGCGGCCATGTTCCAGAACGGCGGGCCGCGCATGGTGGCCGTCAACAACAACGGCAACTGAGCGCTCCGTGGCTCCGTCCAACCCGCGTGTCGTTTTTGTTCGTTTTTAAATTTGAGAGAGAGAAAGCTAGTCAATTTTTAACTTGCCATTCTGAATGGATGATGGCGCTTTGTTTGGTTGTAAGGCGTGGTTGTTGAAATTGTGACTTTTGAGAATTGTTTTCATGCAACAAAATTGGCGTGGTTTGCCCTTTTTTTAAAAAAAATATATTGACTTTGAATGAGCAGCCTTATGGATTCGTGCCTACCAAAAATAATTTTACCATGCGTTACAGATTTGTAATTTTTTGTTCATAATTTGTATGTTTATTAATGTTGGTGGTATTAAGTAATGACTTAAAGTGAAATGACTTTAAATATTCAGATTTTATTGCACAAAGAGTACATATTGCTGTAGGAGTTATACTAGAGCCAGTGTTATTTTTGACGCCAGTATGTATATCTTTTATCTTGATCATAGAACATTTTGTTATAATTTTTTATGGACATGTATTGTAATTCTCTATTGAATGAAGTTCAATTTTTATTTTTTCCAATAACTACCTTTATTTCTTGACCGGGCACCACAGATTGGTGTCACTATATTCTTAAGCGGGAGAACGTTGTGTCTTCGTTTACTTTGTGGTATTTATATGTAAACTGTAAATATTTATGTCTTGTAAATACATGCCATTTATTGGCGAAAGAATAGAATGCATTCTGCTTCCATTATTGCCTCTGAAGGACAGATCACCTTGCTCTCACATCGGACTCGTCCAGCATGAACCTCTGCAGCTTTTCTATGCACGCCTCCTGGTAGTCGTGGACCCACCTAAAAAAGCATTTGCTGGATTAGTTATTCAGAGCCAGTTTCAATTAGCAAATAAGACTAGACTCATTCTCACTCGACTGCGTTGTAGTTGGATATTCCACGAATGTCTTCGGGTAGCAACTGAGACTCTGGCCATACAAAATTTTTCTCCGTGATTGGGATGATCTTGCACTTTGGCGATGATTTCAATGCAACCAAGATTTCCTACAGATAAATATTTCAGCCATTAACAGACGAATCAAAGAAACCCTAAAATTCATCACCACCACCACCACCATTTTTAACCTTGTGGACCCAGTCCTTGCCCTCGTGGTCGTTAAGGCACCGGTCCAGGGCGTTTGGGGTCAGTATGAGAATGAAATTATTAGATTGCTTAATGCTCTGAATCAGATTGTTGTCGAATCTGCCGACCCCCAAAGCGGACACGTCAAGGAACACCTTATATCCTCGCTGTTCCAAGTGAGCTTTGACGACACTGGAAGAAAACCGACTGTCCATTTATATTCATTTCCAAAAAAAGTCAAGTTGTTACTGTGGAGCAGAGACTTGCCTGGCTAAATGAGACCCTCCTGATCGTCTGTAGCTTATGAACGCATCAAATACCTTATTTGGATGGACATTGCAACATTCTGAGGAATGAAAAAAGATAATTAGCTTCAAGAGGCCTGCTCTTAAATCTCAGACCATTTTAGTGCATCTGCAGTGAATGTTGCAGTCCACTCATAGATATTTCTTTAATGGTGTGGGAACAGTCGTACTCTTAATGCAACGCAGTATCTTCTGCCGGTGCAGCGAGTTGAGGACGCCGCACTCGAGGAGCTTGTCGTCGGACAGGCTGCAGAGGGAGTCCTGCTCCACGCCGGCCTTCAGGAGGCCGTAGGTGTAGACGGCGAACTCGGGGTCGATGGCGGCCAGGAGCGACCTCAGGTTGTCGGCGTCACTGCTCGAGTAGTCAGCCATAATCTTGAGTTTCTTCAGCTCTCGCATGAAACTGCAGACGGGATCAAAATGACAGTGATCAGGGTGTGCAGGGGGTCGTACCGGTCCAATTTTCACACAGGTAGTCTCACCGTTTCCGGAGAAAGCCGTTTGACATCCTGATGTCAGTGCGAAGGTTGTCCGCGGTGAGCTGCAGCAGGAGCTCACCGTCGACGCAGCTCTCCACGAAGCAGTCGGCGTACTTGGCGAAGTCGATCTGCTTGACCCACTCGCGGACGTCCTCCGTGGACCACAGGGGCACGTGCTGGCTCAGCTTCGGGGGCGGGTGCACCCCGATGAAGCGCAGCGCCTGCGCCGCGCACTTGGAGGCCACGGCGTTGGGGCACGACGCGCACTTCTTGAGGGGCTCGATGGCGCCGATTTCGCGGAAGATCTCCGTGTTGCCCTGCTGCTTCTTGATGCCCGCCTCCATGCAGAAGTGGAAGGCGGCCAGGCTGCGCGCCTCCTCGCGCTTGGAGCTCAACACGGGCACCAGCTTCTGCAGCCAGGGCGCGCTGTGGCCGCGCCACAACGCCGGGCTCGAGCGCGAGAAGCGCGGCGGGTCGTGCGAGGAGACGAACCGCTCCACCAGGGCCAGGACGTCGGTCTTCAGCACGGCCGCCTCGATCTCGGGGTTCGCCACTAGCACGGCGATGGCGAGGCACGCGTAGTACTTGACGACGTCGTCCACGTGAAAGGCGAGTGGGAACAGCCAAATGACCACCTTGCACTTGATCATGGCCTCCTGGTTGTCGGCGCCGCCGAACAGGGCGAGGTTGGCGAGCGCCGCCGCGCAGTGCCGCAGGGTCTCGACGTTGTTCTTGCGGCAGGCGAACAGCACGGCGTCCAGGCCCCCCAGCAGCACCACGTCGGAGCACCCGTCCGGGCTGAGCTTGAACAGCTGCTGCAGGATGCTGGCGCCGGTGCTCGCCTGCCCCTCGTCCTCGTGGCGCGCGCACTGGCACGCCAGCCTCACCACCTTCTCCAGGCCGTGGTCGGCGACGTAGTCGCGGTTGTCCTTCGTCAGGCACTGCGTCACCAGCAGCGCGCTGGCGTACTGGAGGCCGCAGTCCGAGTCCTCGCACTTGGAGATGAGCAGATCCAGGCCGCCGCACTCACGCAGCGTGCAGCTAAGCTTCTGGCCCAGGGCGTTCTTCTGGTTTGTGACCAGCCAAGCCTCGTGGAGCATGTCGTTGGTGCGGTTCAGCAGCTGCAAGCACACGCATCCCCTTCAGCCTCACTCTTGGCGTCGCGTGGCGTCCTCCTGGCCTTCCAGGCCGCCAGCCAGCACGTACCTTGAGCTGCAGGTCCTCGTCGCAACTGCCTGAGCGCAGTACCTCCATCACGGACGCCAGCTGCGTCGTGTACTTGTTGATGATTTCGGCGACCACCACCTTAGAGGAGTGGGGTGACTGTAGAAGACCCAGGTCCTTGAGGTCCTCGAACAAATGATCTACATCCTGGATCTTGATGTCCTATGCGGGTGGAACACACCGAGTGGGTTAGGGACCTTGGCCGCGAGGGAGAGCATTTTCTGCGTGTGCAGTTACAGGTGATCCCACAATGGGTCGGGCGGGCGGGCGGACGGACGGTCGATCTATGAACACCAGCTCAACGCGAGTCATTATAGATCGAGCCTGTTAAGAGCCTGGGTTTGACCCCTCGGTAAGATTACGTTTTCCTCAGTTAACTTTAAAAGATTTCGGTACCATCAGGGAGTAAGGGGGGGGCGAGCCGACGGTGGGAACTCTTTTTGCATGTTAGAGGGGAAAGCTAGCTGTTGCGCCACCAAGGTAGGCCACCCATTTGACACGCCCGAGCCCATCCCATGGCAGGTGACTCCTAAGCCCACTCAGCTGCCAACTCGCTTAGAGAGTTCTCGAAGGGATTCGAACCCAGATCCTGCTCATAGCATTTTGTTCTTTTTTGTTTGTATCATGCACTCTTGCCCACTGAGTCAACAGTCAAGCGGCGTGCCTAAACTCAGACGGGAAGCGGTAACGAAGGAAAATCAAGGACAAAACAAGCGCCTGGGAATCGATCCCAGGTCCTTCTATTGGTGGGTGACGCTCTTGCCGACTAAGCCTCCAGTTGGTGATGTTACTCCAGAACGTCCAACCGACCGTATTCGACCTTACCTTGTTCTTGAAAGCGTCGAGCGGCGAACAGTGCCACACGCCAATAGAGGGTACGTTTCTTCGGATGTCCTCACTTGACCTGCGCCCAGTCTTCACCCTTTTCTAGAAACAGACAATGCGTCCAAGGGGATGATTGAGTCCGTTTCTCCGTTTCTAAAAGAGAACGTCTCAGGAGCGGAATGGACCAGTGACGTCCAAATTGGACTCCTCGCTGTCAATCTGACCTTGTTGACATGGGACATGGCCTCGGAGTGCGCGGAGCAAGGCGCGGAGCCAGCCTGGCCCTGGCTGCCCTGGCTCTTGGTTCGCGCGGCGAGCAGCTGGCCCATCGTCGGTGAGGTGCTGGGCGGTCCCCGGGGAGCCCGTCGGCAGTCTGGGCGTGGTGGGTGTGTTCGTCGCGATCCGCGCACAGTGACTGCTGCAGGAAAAGCAAGCCTCCAGCTCTGGCCTGCCTTTCCGCACCGGCCGGCGGACCGCGCGGAACGCAGGAAGCAGATAAAAAGAACGCCGACTGTTCGAGTGTAAGAAATGGCTACAGCCAGCATGCTGAGATAGCATGCTGTAAGCCACTCAATTCATCTGTAGTGCACACGGATTTTGGCGTAGATGATTTAGCTCCGGTGTGTGTGTGTGTGGGGTAAATTATCATGCGGGTAGCGGGCCACAGGTACTGCTTGTTTTTCAGAGGGCGAATAAAAGAGGCGCTTTGTTAAAAAAATTCATTTTTAAATAAAAAATAAAATACAATATAAACAACGTGCGCCCCGTGTGGGAGGCGTGGGCTCGACTCTGCCACGCCTGCCACACGGGACGCCTCTGGGGAGGTGCGCCGCCGCGGAGTCACTCGCGGTCCTTGTCCGAGCCGGAGCCCTTGGTGGAGTCGTTGGAGTGCATGCGCTGGTACGCGGGCGGGTGGCGGCCCATGGCCACGCAGCTGGGGGTGCCGGGCATGGTGCCGGGCAGTGTGCCGGGCGTCGAGTCGCCCTTGCTGCTCAGCATGCTCCTGGAGGACGAGGACAGCGGGCCCTCCACGCCCATCCGCGTGCCCAGCTCGCCGCGCATGAACCGCTCCAGCTTGTCGACGCACGCGTCCTGGTAGTCGTGGATCCACCTGCGGAGGGAGAAAGACAGCGAGTCAGGAACCAAGTGTTTCGAATATCCCGTAAGGCACAGCGCGGTGATTCCGTCATCTCTCTTGCACAACCAGGGAATGCAGTGTGCCAGTGTCGCTAAACTGGACTCAAAACGAGCTTATGACCCCACCAATGGATTCCTCGTTCGGAGAGCAATCGATTGGTGGGGTCACACGAGTAATTCGAGTCCTGTTTAGCGACTCTGGAGCTCAAAACGCGTCTAGAGTTTTGCGCCGGCCTTCTGGCCCACTGTGGACCGCACCGCATGTGCGACAGAGGTGGAGCGACTAAACGACACAGGACGGTAATGAGGCGCTTACCGGACTCCGTTGAAGTGGCAGACAGCTCGCATGTCCTCGGGCAGCTCTTCCGGCTCCGGCCATGAGAAGTTGTCTGTGATAGGGATGATGTTGCATTGGGAATCTAATGCGGCTACGATTTCCTGCAAGACAAATTCGACGTTCAAAACAAATCCCAGGCAAAAACATGTTTTGGCGAAAAAAATAATAAGAAAAACGCGGCATTACCTTGTGGACCCAGTCCTTGCACTCGGGGTCATTGTGACACCGGTCCAGGGCGTTGGGGGTGAGGACGAGGATAAAATTTCTAGCTTGCTTAATGCTCTGCAGCAAATTATTGTCGAATTTTCCGGCCTCCAGTCTCTCGACGTCGATGAAGACTCGGAAGCCTCGAAGTTGTAAGTGAACTTTTAATAAACTGCAAAGTAGGAAAAGGATTGTTTAGATTCATGCGTTAATCTGAATAAATGGGATACATTTTTTGTGAAACATGAGGATATAATATCGAAGCAGGGACTTACCTAGCTAATTGAGAACCATTTGACCTTCTATAGCTAATAAATACATCTAATGGCTTATCTAAGTTGTTTTGGAAGGAATTGTCGAGGCAGTTCTCCATCACTGTAGGGAAAAAAGAAAGTTCGGTCAAAAACTTGACAATTGAGTGCGAATAGCATAACAGAAGGCAGGGGTCGTCAAATATATCCATCGGGCGAGCCTCAACCGTGATCTGCTCGGCCTCCGGCCGATAGTCTTTTAAAAGAGCTTTTACCGCGGCGCAATTACAGCGTGGCTTTCGCGCTCCGGCCAAATTTCTTTTCTGATCGTCCACCAGCTCACACGCGCTGACAGCGGTTTTTGCCACCCAACCCAATCTGCACTCTCTGTCCAAATTTATAATAGCAATTTTAGGTGCTACCACTGCGTCTTTTTGAGCGCCGAGAAAAATGCGAATTGATGCGGCAAGCAGCGAATTCGTCGAACCGTCCACGATTCACTTTTTTGAGGATTTTCTTAAGTAGTCCATGAAAGTTCATTTTCACCACGAAAGTAAAAAAAAAACAAAAACAAATAAACCTAAGGACAGAGGCAGAGGGCCAATAAGGCAAGGTGGGTGCTGCCGCTCGGCACCTTTGTCAGCCTTTTCACTCGCAAGAGGTCCGCGTGGCCCGTGCGGCCACGCCCTTGCAGGGAACGAATCAAAATTTTTGCCGAAAATTTAAAAACATTTGGACGCCGCTGGACACGCCTCGTCAGTGCAGTGCACTTACTCCGGAGGGATTCGAGAATCTTCAGTCGGTGGATGGAGTTGGAGATGCCGCACTCGTGGATGAGCTGGTCGTCGGACAGGCAGCGGATCGAGTCCTTGTCCACGCCCGCGTTCAGCATGGTGTAGGTGTAGATGGAGAACTCAGGGCCCATCGTCAGCAGAAACGAGTTGAGATTGCTGGCGTCTTTGCTTGAGTAGTCGGCCATCTTCTTGAGGTTCTGGAGCTCTCTCGTAAAGCTGCAGGCGAGAAGGAATACAGTGAGTATTGATTGACTACTTTATGTCCTGTGAGAAACTCATATTTTGAACAATACAGGAAGTCGCCACGAAACACAATTATGATAAAGTTATAAATTTAAAGTTTTGTCATTTATTTACTATTAGCAAAGTGCATTGCTGCGGGCTGGGCCCCACACTTACCCTCTTCTTCTGATGCCATTTAAAATTCCTATATCAGTCCGGAGGTTGTCCTCGGTGAGCTGCAGCAGGAGGTCGCCGTCGACGCGGCTCTCCACGAAGCAGTCGGCGTACTCGGCGAAGCCGATCTGCCGGACCCACTCGCGGACGTCCTCCGTGGACCACAGGGGCACCTGCTGGCTAAGTTTGTGCGGCACCTCCTCGCCGATGAGGCGCAGCGCCTGCGCCGCGTACTTGGAGGCCACGGCGTTGGGGCACGACGCGCACTTCTTGAGGGGCTCGATGGCGCCGATTTCGCGGAAGATCTCCGTGTTGCCCTGCTGCTTCTTGATGCCCGCCTCCATGCAGAAGTGGAAGGCGGCCAGGTTGCGCGCCTCCTCGCGCTTGGAGCTCAACACGGGCACCAGCCTCCTCAGCCACTGCATGCTCTGGCCGTGGGCGTGGGCCAGGTTGGAGCGCGCGAAGTCCGACGGGTTGTGCGAGGTGACGAAGGGCTCCACCAGGTCCAGGGTGCCGGACTGCAGCACGGCCGCCTCGATCTCCGTGTTGGCCACGAGCACGGCGATGGCGAGGCACGCGTAGTACTTGATGTTGTCGTCGGTGTGGAAGGCGAGGGGGAACAGCCACATCGGCACCTTCCGCTTGATCATGGCCTCCTGGTTGTCGGCGCCGCCGTACAGCGACAAGTTGGCCAGCGCGCCGGCACAGTGTCTTAACGTTTCAATGTCGTTTTTCCGGCACTCGAACAGCACGGCGTCCAGGCCGCCCAGCTGTATCACGTCCGAGCAGGTGCCCTCACTGTGCTTGAACAGGTGCTCCAGGATGCCGGTGCCCACGCGCGCGTGGTCCGGGTCGGCGTTCTTGGTGCACACGCAGGCCACGTTCACGACCTTCTCCAGGCCGTTGTCCACGACGTGCGCGCGGTTCTCCGTCGTCAGGCACTGCTCTAGGAGCCGCGCGCTGGAGTACTGGAGGTCGCGGTCCGAGTCCACGCAGTTGGAGATGAGCAGCTCCAGGCCGCCGCACTTGCGCAGCGTGGAGCAGAGGGTGTGGCCCAGCTCGTGGCCCAGGGTGGGGACGGCCCAGGCCTTGCGGATCATGTCGTTGATCCGGTTCAGCATCTGCAAGCACGGCAAGCACACGCAGTCAGTGACGAGTCCGCACCGACGGCAACCCGACACAACACCCACGTCACCGAGCACGTCACCCTGCCCCACCTTGGGCTCCTGCTTCTTGTCACCGCGCGTCCGCAGCATCTTGATGACGTGCTCCAGCTGCGTGGTGTACTTGTGGATGGCGTTGTCCACCTCCTGCTGCGAGGAGCTGGGCGATAGCCGCTCCAGGTCCGCCAGGTCCGCGAACAGGTGCTCCTCTTCCTCCGTCTTGATGTGCATCATTCGCTGCGGGCAAAACACAATCATCATCACAACCACGACCAGCACCGAGAACACCGCGAGTATCACTATCAGAGAAACACTCATAAGGCACACAAGAAGGGTCACTACCACTGTACTACTTAAAATGAACATAAGGGTCACTATCACTGCGCTGCTTATCAGAACCACACTCAAAACGAGCAGATGGGTCACTATCACTGCACTGATAATCACAACCACACATGAAACTAGCAGAAGGGTCACTATCACTGAGCTGACAATCACTACCACTGCATGCAAGACCACAGTCAGCGAGGCGCCCGCAATCACTGCCACCGCCACTGTCACCAGCCTGGCCACCAGGACGCGTCGTACCTGCTGCTGCATGGCCATGACGGAGGACGAGGAGGACGCCTTGTTGGCTTTGAAGGTAATGTTGGAGTGTGATGAATGTGACGAGGACACGTGGTTCTCCTGGTTGTACACGCCAGAGGTCACGACCTGCTGCGTGGACACCGCCTTCTGCAACACACAAAACGGGACCGTTAGAAACGCCAACAGGAGGACAGATAACAGCAAGGCGCAGCAACGCAGCGCCCGCCAAACCGAATTTTATGACGCGATTTCATAATTTGTCCTAAGGTTTCAATTTACTCAGGTCTTTATAAGTCTGTAAAATTGTATTAAGTAAAATAAAATTCAAACAAGGTTTTAGTGGGTCACCCCCTTATATTGTTTTTGTTTTTGGTTCATTTATTCTGAAACATTTAGACTGATTAAATTGAAACCTTATTAAGCCTACATGAATTCTATACATAACTTACACGAAGCAACATAAAGTTGTATTTAACGTAATGAGATCGCGTTGGGCGGGCCCTGCGTTGCATCACTTTGTGAAACGGTGCGGCGCCGGCGCGCGGCGCGCCTGGGTTCAACGCCACCCTGGATGGTACCTGGACTGTACTGTACAGCAGCCGGCGGCGCTGTGGGCGCTGTGTACAGTCGGTCCGGCGTAGCCGAGGCCTAGCCGGGGCGTAGCGGTGCTCCCGGGGCCGTGGGGGGCCACCGGGGCCACCACACCGGCACAGGCAATGTTGCCTGGCGCCGGCTGTGAGCGCCAACAAACATGTTTGCACCTGCCGAGCGCGGCGCGGCGCCAGCCAGGAGGACTCCTCGGACGCACGCGCCGCGCGCCTCGCCGGCTGACGGCTGATATGGCTTATCAGCAGCAAAGCAGGCTGGCGACAGTCGGCAGGAGGCGGCGTTTGGCGGCCCCGCCGGACTAGGACAACCGAACCGGACCTACCTTTTCTGAGCTGAAGTTCTCGGTGTGCATCTTGAGGCAGGACGCGGCCACGCTCTTGTTCTCCTGCTGGCTCAGTTCGCCCGCCTTCAAGGACCGCTGCTCCTGTAACACACAGCGTGGGCCCATGGCGTCAGTCCGGCTGGTCGACGTGGCGACGGCGGCGATGGTGGAGGTGGTGAAGGTGCTACGCTCGGTGCGCTCGATCACGCACGTCACGCTCGTGCTGCTGACGACCACGACGGAGGCGGCGCCGTCACTTGTTGTCGGGCACTGCCGGCACCGGGGGCGGCAGGCCAGCACCCCAGCTTGCACGGCGTGCACGGTGCGCTTGGCTCGGAGGCATGCTCGCGATAGGAGGCGGCGAGTGCTGCCCGCCAGGGAGGACGACGAAGAAGAAGCCCTACTGGGCGTGGACGTAGCGGCGGCCGCGAAGGACGCCGTCGAAGCGCGGGCGGGGCGGGTTTCGGTAGTGTCGGGGATGGCGATGACGATGGGCACTCTGCACTTAATGCTCTCCGGACACGGGCAGGGCGTCGACGCCCCGGGTGCGCGCTTTTCGCGCTTTTCGCGCTCGCACTCTGGACTCGGTTTGGGCGCTGCGGAGGGCACTGGCTGCTGCGGGACAGCCTGCTGCGGCTCGAGCGGCGGGTTGGTCACCACGGCCATGCACTGACTGACGAGCCGGCCGGGGCCGTGCTGTGGCGCGACGGAACGGGGCCTCTATCCCTCTCGCTCTCCCCTCTATCTCTCCTGCTCCTCTTCACGATAATCAGCAGGCAGGCTGCTTTGGCTCGGCTCGGCACGGTCCGGCTCGGCGCGACGCGCGACCGCGACGCAGCTCCAACGACGGACGGACTACGAATGTGCAGGCCGACGCCCGGCCGGCCGTTTTAAGGTAGGGCTTTGGTTAAGCCACTCCGTGCGCCCCGCCGTGCCGCGCCGCGTGGACTGCACGGCGTGGACTACTCGGCGTGGAACCCCGGCGCGGCGACGCCACCGCGCAGGAATCCCATAAATGGGTCCGCGCCGGCCCAGCAAAGCCCCATGATAAGCGGCATGCGGCACAGACCGGCACTTCCTGTCAAATGTGGCTGATTGACGTGAAAGAAGCGAGGCGGCAGCGCTGCGCCGCTATGACTCATGCGGTACGAATCGCGACGCCAGCGCGGCGGCACGCCGTACCGTGCGGTACCGTGGCCATGTCACCCACGGGGACGTTGGCCGCGAATCGCACTATTCAAACGTTTCACCAGCGCGATGAAACTGGGAAACACCCGCCGCAACTTGCGTAACCAGCACCGGCCTGGAGCTGGAGGGGGCTGGAGGGGAGCTCCTGGAAGGGACCTGGAGGGGAGCCCCTGCGAGAGACGAGGTAGGCCGCACGCTGCGCGCAGCTGCGTGTCCGATGCGGGGCTGCCTACCCAGCACGGCGGTCAGCCTGCCTGCCTGGCTGCCTGGCTGCCGCCCAGCCCAACCCCCGCCCCGGCCAGCCCAGCAGCCCCAGCAGGCAGCCATCGCCAAGGTCGCGGGGGACCCTCTGCAGCGCGTCCCCACCGCGCGACGCGAAAATACATCCCGGACGGCACGGCCGCGGCGCGGCGCCAAGTCCGCCGCGGCACTGCACAGCTGAACTTCCGGTCCTTATCGCGCCGAATGCCGCGGCGGAGGAAGACGCGTGTATCGCACATCTCGCCGCGATCGGCGGGCAGCGGGCAGCAGGAAGCACGGCGACCGTTACCTCGACATTGGCCGCGGGCCAAGAGTCATTTTCGGACGACAGAATTAGACAAAACGGCGGCAATGAAAACAATCGGCGCTGCTACCACCGTTGAAACTTTGCCGGTCAGTGGGGCCTCGCGCGGCGCCTGCGCCTGGCGCAGGGCAATGGACCTGCGCGTCGTCAAACTATTTGAGGAATGCGACGCTGCAAAGGTCGCGTCCTGGGTCTTCGGCCACATCACGTGGCGCCCACGGCCGAGGGGCCTCAGCCACAGCGCACAGTAACTCACGGCGGCGGCGAGCCACGGATCGGCACGGATACAAGATAATGGGTTTCACGCCGAGGAAACACCGCACTTGCCTGCCTGGTGGTCCCGGTCCCTATGTGCCGCGAGTCTCGGTTCTTCCACCACGACATTGCTGGCCCACCCCTCGAAGGGCACCACGCTGGACAGCACCGAGCCACAACTTCGAGACGCAGGACGTCCGCAGTGACCGGGCCGCGCGCACACACTGAGCAGTACCGCGCGGGTCTTGGCCGTGGAGGGGATTATCAGGCCGGTGTTAACGCTGGCGCTCGGCGGACGCTGCGACGGACGTGCGATACCTTCTGCGAAGTGGAGCCATCGGTAGCGCCGCTGCTGCTCGCGTTGTCCTCATCGTCCGCCTCCATCTCCACGACGGGCGTCGGGGACGTCGGCGTCGGGGACCTGGACGCGGCGGCGGTCGCGGACGCAGGCCGGCGCACCGTCATCACGTGGAGGATCTTCATGGCGCGGCCGGCGAACAGGGTCTTGGTCACCAGCCACTCACAGACGCACGCGGCGCGCTGTGGCCATTCCTCCATGCAGGCCGGTGCGGCGCGTCGTCTCGGCCAAGGTTCGCGCTGCGCGGTCCGGGGGTCACCGTCGTTCCGCCTGGCCGGGCGCCGCGACACTGTCCCTGCGCGAACCGCCACCGCGGCAACCCGGGAGCCAGGGCCTTGGCGGCACGCGCTTTCCGCCCCCGGACCGCCCAGGCACGCGGCCCGCGCGCGCTCTCTCTCGCACTCATTGGCCGTGTCGTGCGGGTGCGGAAGAGACAGAACAGCAGGACCCTCCGCGCGGAATCAGCCTGCCGGGCTCGCGGCCCACCGCGGCCCACCGCCACCCACGCCTCTGGTCGCACAGCGCGCACGGCGCCGCGGGGGGCGCGAACTAACCTCACCGCTCGGCGCCCGGCACGACGGGCAGGCGCAGCCGCCGCGACTCATGGCTCCGCAGGCACCGCCAAGAGCGCAGGTGGGCGACGACGACGGCGATGCACCGCGCACCGCGGGGCTGGCTGCTCTAGCTGCACGTCGCGTACTGAGGGCGGCGTGGCAGCGGATCTACCGCGACGCCCCCGCACTCACCATGGCTTAGCCCGGCTTGGCCCCAGCCGGCCAGCTGTTGGCGGCGCGCCGGGACACGTCACCGAGCAGCACCGCGACGACATAGCGGCAGCGCCGCGACACCGAGCCAATAGCCAATCAATGCAGAGCGTTAATCGCTTGGCACGGGCCTGCTTTCTATTGCGGGCCTCACGTCACTATTGGCAGTCGGGCGGGGCGGCGGGGCGAGACCGCAGACGAGGCGCATCGGCAGCTGGCCGTTATTGGCAGTCAGACGCGCCACGCTACGCCGGTCAGCCACACGCCTTGCCACGCCGTGCCCCACGTGCGACACGAGGGTCGCCGCCGACGCCGCGTAGCGTACGAGGCTTGGCGTACATGAGAACCGCGACTCAGCGCCGCCGTGGCCCCTGGCCGCCCCTGGCCGCCCCTGGCCTGGCAACGCCGCGCTGACGCCGCCCGTTTCCCTCCTAAATCGCTGGGTCTTCGCGAAAAAGGAGCCGCCGGCGATACCCACGCGGCGGGCAGCCCGGCGAGGGGGCAGCCCGGGGCGGCCGATCGCGATCAGAGGCGGGGCCGGACGGGGCCAGCCTCGGCACCTCGCTCGGCACCAACAACAAGCCGGCCTGGGCCTGGACGCCCGCGCCACGCCTCACTGCAGTGCGGACCGCGGGCTGGAGGCTGCACACGCGGCGTCCTCATGGCGCGAGCAAGGCGCGAGCAAGGCGCCTCAGACCCCTCTCCTTTCAGCGAGTGTGCTGACGCCGGTCTGGGCCGGGCCGGATCCCCACCCATCTCGTGTGCCATCTCAGCTGACTTCACAACCACGGCCAACTTTCAAAAGTTGTCAAAAATCAGTCACTTAAAATTTACCTATTGCGTCTAAATTGAATAATTTACCATGATAATCGAGAGAAATTAACGGTCGCAAAACCACTTTTCTAGAAACACGAGGACCAGCCGGTGAGCGAGCCTAAGAATTTCTAAAGTTTATTGCAGAAACAGAAGGCAATGACGGAGACAATGCCATCATCTCGATAACGCGCTGCGAACGGCGGCAACGTGGTGCTGACACGATATGTTATACAACGCCCCCCTCCCCTCCCCCTCCCCCTCCTCGGTCACTCGCATTCCGCCGGGCATCTCGTGTAAGACGGCAACACACGTAAGGCAGGTCAGGCTCGGGTTCGTGTTGTTATTTGCCTGTCAAGTGACACTATCTGCCTGACGGACGACTGTGCATCAAAGGTACTCGGCGGCTCAGAAAAGAAAGGAGGTAGGGCGGCTTACTAACCGTCTATCAAACTAGCACACCGGAGAAATATTTAGCCCGAGCATACGGGAGCTTCCGAAGAACAGACAGCAAACCCACCCACCGAGCTATACTGCAGAAGAACTCCGATTTCGGCGTTGTTTTCCCATGTCGCCTCCCCCCTCCTCCTTCCCGCTGGGAAAGACAGGTAGGGTTTCGGGTGTGTTCCTACTCGACGCCGACAGATGACCACTCAAAAACAGTTCCTCTGCAAAACTTTTGTGCGTGGGCGGTGGAAGGGACGCAGCGTGTTCACGACAGTCGCCAATCCGTCGAGGAAAATGAACGCTTTTCTGGGACAGCTCGCACCGCACGGAGGGCGAGTTTGCCGCGACTCGGTGCGGGCCGACGACTCGGCTGGGCCGCAGGGCGCCAGCTCGAGTTGCCCATTTCCCTGACCCCAGTGGCCAGTGCGGCTGCGGACGTTCCCGGAACGAGTCTGGAGCGCCGGGCTGGACAGGACACCGTCTCAGCGGTACTTCAACAAATTTCTTTCGGATGAGCTATTATATTTTTGAGATCGGTAGACCTGGGTGCCGTGGCTGGCCATGTTTGACCCGACCTTCACCGAGAGGCCGCCTGGCGCGCCGAATCTGACACCGGCGCCGTGCTGCGCTACCCCAACGACGACGCCACCAAGTACTCGTCTGCCACTGCTCGAAGGCCGCGACGCGTCTGACGCCTCTGACGCGCGTCGCC